CTTGTTTATTGTATTTATTTTTGCTTTTTTTAATTCTCAATTTTATTCATTTTAAGAATGAATAAAATATCCCTATAAAATATTCGTTATTATAACATTATTTAGTAATTTTATATATTCAAATATCACAAATTTAAAATACATATTTTTTTTATTTTATTTTATAATATTTAGAAAATAAACATATTTCTTTATTTTGTAATGTTTAAATAAATTTAAATACAATAAATAAAGTAAATTTTTCATAAAAATTTTTATTTTTTAATCTTTATTTTTGAGCACTGTAAATGTAAATATAAAATATTGCTTGAAAAAATTATTTTATATATTATCTTTAGTATAATATAATAAAATTAAATACAAAACATAATATTTTAATAATATATTTATTGAAAAAAGCACATGCTTTTATAAAAATATAAATTTCAAAAAAAGAAAAAATTTTTTAAATGTTTATTATCATTGCATGTTATTGAATAATCATAAATTTTGATTGACAACTTTTATTTGTTATATGGTATATTTGTTATATTTGTTATATTATATACTGTAAAATAATATAATATAGTAATATTAAAATATAATTCAAAAAAAAAAATCATAGAAAACAAGACTAAATGAATGTATACAAATTAAAAAAGATTACCATAAAAACTAATTAGAAGTAGTTTGAAAACAATTCTTTCAAAATCTCCGAATGTGGATTACTATTTATATTCATATTATATAAATTTTTTAAAACTAAATAAAATCTAATATTCCATGTACTCACATTTTAAATTTTTTTATAAGTTTTTAATAATATAAAATTTTTTTATATAACTTCATATCATATTATTCTTTCTAACCTCTAAAATTCAAGAGCTTCTATACCTTGTATTTTAAATATATTTATATCTTTCTGTTTTAATTTTAATTTTATTTTAAATTCAAAATTATTTTTATTTTATTTTTATCTATTTTTATATACGATTTCATTTTAAAATGCATATTTATATTTTTTTTAGAATTTTTTCATCTAATGTGTATACCTAGGAAATGTACATACTATTCAAAATGTTAATCCAAAATTATTAATCTAATACAATTTCTAACCTATTTATGATTCTTATAATGATTATGATTGTTATAATTCTTATAACAAAACAATAATTAATAAATATTATAGAAATAATATTAAAATGTTAAATGTTATATTTTCATTAATTAATTATATCTTATAAACAATAAAGTTTAGAGAGATAAGAAATAAATATTAGATGTTATTTATATATCTATTATCTTGTTGCATTTATTTTTTATTTTTATTCATTCCATTTATCAAAAGATAATTGCTAAAAAATAATTTAATTGAAAAAACAATTGAGTTGATGATTATATAAAAGAATATTTTTTAATAATATAATAATATATAAAATCTATATGTATATATTAGTTTCGAGAAACAAAATTTAGATTTATTTTGATATTTTATCGCAAATTCAAATTACAAACTTATAGAGATAAATTTTTTGAATTATCTCTTTTTAATATATAAATAATTTGTATTATTATGTTTCGAGAAATATTTAGTTATATAGTTATATAGTTATATAAATATATAGTTTAGAAATATTAGTTAGAAACAAAATTTAGATTTATTTTGACATTTTATCGCAAATTCAAATTACAAACTTATAGAGTATAACTTATATAAATTTTTTGAAATATCTCTTTTTAATATATAAATAATTTGTATTATTATATGTATAAATTAAAATATTAAAACTTCATTTTAAATAGATCAAAACTTCTAAAAAATTTAGAGTTAAGATAATGTTTCTTAAATTTTATTTCAAAATTTAAATTATTATAAAATATAAAAATTTATAAAAACAAAACAAAACACTTTTCAGTAAATGTTATATATGAAAAATTTAAATGTTAATATAAATTAAATATTATTAAATTGTGAATAATAATATAATTGTAATTATAATTAAAATTATGAAGTATTAATATTATTTTACTTTCATTTAGAAGATATATAAAATAAATATTTCATTTTTTAAATATAGATATTTTTTAACTCAAAATAATACAATAATTTTCAACTTTTAATAGCATTCATTTTACTTTGAGAATCAATAATTATAAAATAAATAATTCTGAAAATATTATATGTGAAAAATAAATATGTATCATAAAGATGATATATGAATTGATTCTTCTTATTTTATTTCATTATTCAATATAATATAGATATTCATATAAATATCTTTATATATGTACATATATTTATATATAATTATATATTATTTAAAAGCGTCTTAATTAGATAAATGAAATAAGATTATATAATCTAATAAATTAAGATTTATGAAAATTAAAAATTTAATTATCAATGATTTAATTATATATAAATATGTATATGTATTACTAATAATATCTTGAAAAAATGAAAAATTTAACTAGATATTAGTATTGATTGATTTACATTTAAAATATCTTACATTTTAATTTATAATGCATATAACAAAACAATAAAATCAATTTTCTAATTTTTTAAATATCTTATTTGATATTTTATTATAAATATAATAAAAAAAATTTGATAAAATGTAATCAAAACCAAGTTACATAAAATTTATAATAAATGTCATAATGAAGAACATTACGACTAACATGAACTGCAATACAGAAACAGAACAGAAAATAATAATATCGATTGTCATTAATCGAAGATATCGATTAAATGAAGTCGTTTTCTAAATACAAAACAGAACAGACGTATCTTTTTCTGCTGTCAATTTTGAAACAAAACATAATTTAAATTTAAAAGATTTTTCAAATCGAAATGAAACTATATAGTTGAATTCAATTTTGAATAATTTGAAAAATAATCAAAGAAGTCAACACATTCAGTACCGATCCTTTTAATCAAGTAATCAAAGTTTTGGTCGTCTTTTTAAGCATTTGTTCGCGTTCTATTTCAAATTACCATTTCAAATTATAAAATTATAAAACAAAATTTCTCTTTTTCAGAAGTCAAAATGTGCAATATATCCAAATGATATGCAGATAAAGAAAAATCTAAAAATGGAGTTAGTAATTATTTATTTAAACTCAGTCACAAAAATTTCATTATTTACATTAATATTTGAATGAATATTTAGAGTATTTACAGAGTGGCCACTTATCCTGTCCGTTCTCGCTGTTCTATTATTATTTATTGAAGATAGTGATCTGCTAAATTTCTGAAGATGTTCTTCAAGACAAGATAATCTGACTAATAATGGACGATAGACCCAATGAAGTTTCGAAAATTCAACTAATTTCAAAAAAAGAAAGTTTGTATCTTTTTTTTCTTTAAAAAAATGTTCTTCGGAATTCCATTTTTGACATTAGTATTGCGTTCGGTCCTTCATTTTATTTATTTATATACAAATATTTATATTTTATATAGCAATTCAATTTTTACACAGAGAACAAAGAAGGGTATATCCGTTCTACTCCGTGTCTGAAAAACGACTTTGTTTCATATTTTCGATATCAATAACAATTGATATTTACCGGCGCGATTCATAATGCTCTACACTATTCAACTATCAATATTCATAACAATATATTTGTATAGTTTGTTTTATTCAAGTATTCAGTATTAATCACATAATAATTATCATATCACAATTATAATTAATAATAATAAAAATACATTATGTAAAATTATATAATCTATTCGAACTTATATATAAAAAAGAAAAATATTTATATGTAATAATTTCTAAAAGAACATATTTTAATATATTTAAAATCTAAATAATTACATAAAAAAGATTGATTCAATGAAAAAAATTAATTTAATATGAATTGCACATTAATAAATTGTAAAATAATTATTAATTTTAAGAAGGATTTATATATTTATTATTAATAAACATTTTTTATGTAATATATGAGCAAATATATTTAATGTAAAATAAAATGTATCATTAATTATTTTAAAAAAACTTATAAGTTAAATTAGAATTTAAATTAATAGTATTAATATTAAATTATGTGTAATTATTTGTACCAATGAAATAAAATTTATAATATAATATAAATAGAATTAAAAAAAAATATAAGAAATAGCAGAAATCAAATATTAAAAAATATAAAAAAAAATAAAAAAAGTTAAAGAATAAAATAATATAAATAAAATATTAATATAAAAAATAATATATATTAATATTATATATATTATAATAAATATTAATATTATAAAAATAAATAAAATATATATAAATATCTATATTAATATATTAATACATTGTCTCATCGATTACGAATAAACATTAAACTTTTCATTTATATTACACCAATCTCAAAATTAAAGATCAAAAATTTTTGTTTCTATATAGATATTTAGCCTTATTAATTATTAAGTAAGAAAAAATAAAAATAGTTCGTATTAGTTAACAATAATTTATTCTATATTAAGACATTTTCATTTTTGATCAATTATGCTAATGTATGCATAGAACGATTTTGTGTTTATTTTTAATTTTATATACAATATAAATAATACAAGATTTATTTTTAAGATTAAAAATATTTTAAGAATAATTAATTTATTTTGTCTCACAATTTCAACATTAATAAGTTTTAATTCATTTTTTAATCGTTGTTTTTTGTATTTATGTAATTTCTATTATTATATTACTGTTATTATAATAATTACAGAAATAAAAATGTTTATATTTAGGAATATCTTAAATTAAAAGTTAAACAATTAAAAAAAAACTTTCTTAACTATTTATTTTAAATGCAATAAGTGAATTTCTTCTCATTAAGATTTCTTAGTAATTACATAAATATAATATTGAAATATATATAATATATAATTTGTCTTTTTAAAATTGAAACTGAATTAAATTAAATTTTATAAATATATTAATCAGCTTAAATTAAATTAAATTAAATTAATGTATTAAATATATATTTTTACTTATTGAAATGAAATGATATTGATATTATAATTATAATTATAT